ATCTCCTTTTGGAGGAAACAAAAAAAACAACAACTTGAAGGAAATAAGCTTATCCTGATCCAGAGAAACCATCTTAACATCAGTGTTGTGAGTGGGAAGGAGAGAGCACTGCGTAATGGCACATGGGAGCTTTGAGATCCCAGACCTATTAAAATGCTTGTTTGCCAGCCTAGCCACTTTGCATGCCTGGAAATGTTCCTTCAGAACAAACCTTCGTCATAATCAAAAGGAAGTCGTCAGGCAAAAATGAATCCGGTTTAATTTTAGAGGGCAGGAACCCTCAAGAGATATCTGAAACAGCTTTCAGTGGCTGTATGTGGATTAATACAAGTTTCTCTCCTCTGATAGATTCAAAATGGTCCAAGAGAGTTAATCTGATGTTTGTTTGCTTTTTAGGGTTTGGAAACCTTGGGCTCAGAGAACTTGCTTTCCTCCCAGTTGAAGCCTTGTAGCTCAGGAACCTGTCCCTCCTCCTGTCTCCTCATGTTCTTCTTGGGTTTTTTGAGAGATTAACTACCACGATCGTGCTCTCTTGATGTCTTACCCAAACCAGCTTCATCTGTGGCTGTAAGGCTGCTTTTTCTTCTAACCATCCTCGCTCCCTTATGTTTGCTGAGGTCGAGTCATTTCTCCAGGAGGACCGCAGAGACCCCAGCCTCCTTGCTAAGGGGCAATCGCTCAGTCCAGAAACAGAGACCTTTGTGTTTTCTGAACTGAAACAAAAGAGGACTTCGGTGAGCACCCAGTGGTGCTCCCCCGGCTCTGGCCGGGGGCAAGCACCCGGGGAGGAGGACACCTTTCCCCACCCTGAGATGAAGCATAGCCATCACCCTGTTTGCTCCCTGGGGATGTCCCCATTGCCACCGGCCCCAGCTGCCAGGTCACTGCTCTTCCCCAGGGGCCCGGCTGCAGAGGAGCTCTGCGCGGGCATCGCTGAGATCTGGGCCGCTTTGGCAGCTTGGAAGAGGGAAGAGAAACTGTTTCCTAGAAGTCGCCGTCGCTGGAGAGGGGCCAAGGGAAAAACTTCCTCTGGGTGCACGCTGGAGGAGACAAAAGCGGATTGCGAAGAGAAGAATTAGGGAAAGGTCATTATCACCCAAACCACTGGGTCCTCCAATTCCAATTTAACTAAGGGAGTGTGGCCTGGCCACATCATTGAAAATGTTAAAAGAAAACCACCCCCACTCTCTCCTCTCTCTTTATATTTCCCACCTTGCCCATGCTTTCTTCTCTCACTCTATTTTTTTCTGACCCCCTTTTCTCGAGTGCTTTCTGCTCAGTGGTTGTTTATATGACCCTGACATGCCCCCCCCCCCCCCCCCCCCGCGGCAGCACACCACCCGGGGGACGGAGGCGGGAGAGAGGACCTCGTGGCCTGAGGTGCTGTGCTTCTGCCAGTAACACCCCATGCCAGATGAGATAAACTCTGCTCAGGGGGAGCTTGCCATCCAAACAGATACAGCAAATACATTACAGGGGGCAGAAACCACAAAAAAATGCAAATGCAGCCCAACTCTTTCTAGTCTGTTTCCTATTAATTGGATCACAATTTTCTTCCGCTACTGACCTGATAACCACTGCAGACCTCAGGGGAAAAGGCCATAATAAAATAACGTCCCTTCCAGCAAAGCTCCTGTCCCACGGCCCTTTCCCAAGCCCCCTGGAAGCGGGAGATGCCCCTGCCTGCTGAGCTCAAGAGTCCATCGCGACACGTCAACTGCACATCGTTAAATTGACACCGCACATCACAACTTCAGGCATTTCCCAGCTGAAAGACTTGCTATGTGAAACCACCTAAAACCAAGCCAAGACACAGGGGAGCAGGTCAGGAGCACCCAGAGGTGATCAGCAAGAGGAGTGAGACACTCTCTGCTATGGGGAGGACACCCTGGGTGGAGGAGCGCAGTGCCAGGGAGCACGAAGCCCAGCCTGGCGTGGGCCGGCAGCAGCCTCCCATGGGGCCAGATGTGCAGGCTGTAGCAGAGAGGGGGAAATGCGACTGCGCACACGTCTTCAAAAACCATACAGCTCCAGCTGAAGAAGTGAGGATGAAGAGTATAGATTTTCAGGTCAATATCCAAGTAAAGGATGGTAAAGGGATGGAGGGAGTAAAGGATGGAGGCAGGGGAGGGAAAGATGTGACCCATGCGGCAGGGAAGCGATGTCTCTAGTCAGAGCATTTTAGCATGACAAGAAGCAAACCGAAGAAAACCAAATAAAGAATCACAGAGTAATTCAAGTTAAACCGACATTTAAAACAGCATTTCAGTAATGGAGACTAAGGTGGAGGACCGTTGAAGGGACATTAAGCCTTCACAATCTTTAAAACTTTAAGACACTTAATGCTTTCTCAGACAGCCCAAGCAAATGAGTCACCTTGCAACAAGACAAATAAATGCCTATTTTAAAAAGAACTATTTTTCTTGTATCCCGGTGGATTTGCCATTGTCAGTGACAGGCACAGATCTATGTACAGTATTGAGCTAATCTCTTTATCATATCCTCTGGCCTGGAAGTTTCTCCTAATGCCAACCTGCTCCTCAAACCGAAATTCTTGCTCCCCTTTGAGCATTAAATACACTGAGAGAAGGTGATGAGCATGGCTGAGACACAACGAGCGTGTCAATGCAAAGAACGGCTACATTAAGGGTGCTTGGCAGTGACAGCATGGAGATAAATGTTAAGAGAAGGTGATGTATATTTTGAGAAGAGAGATGAGCCCAACCACTAAAAAGCACCGAAATTAGGACATAAAGCATACCAGACATTCGAGAAGCAAAAAAATTTGCCAAAAGAGAGAGAAAGAGGGTTTCTTCCATGGCAGATTGATAGCTTGCCAAAGTAACCGGACAAGGAAGGAGGTGCAAAAAAAGACACAGAGCAGCGAGCAGCTCTCCCTCTCTGTAAGGTTTCCTTCTGTGTTTTCAAGTTTTTGAAAGCAGAGACACCACCCAGCTTCTGGAAAATGAGAAGAAATGCTCTTCCCTTCTCCCCAGACAGAGAAAACCTGCTTTCTTAACTCATATATCCACCCCTGGATATCCATCCCTGCCCTGTATCCACCACCTGTGCAGCGCATGAGCTCCCTGGGGGTTTGCTCTGAAGGCAGAAATGCTCAACGCAGGTTATCACTGGCAAGGAGGAAAGGAAACTGAAGCAAAAGGCTCCACCCCTCTATCTTCCCTCCAGGTGCCAAAATCCGCCAGCACGAACCTCCTTATCCCTTCCCAAGACCCTTTCTCAGCAGAATTTGGTGTTTTCCCTCGCGGGTCTCCATGTTCCCCGTTTGCCTGGCAGTGCCCTACGGCACAGCGCGAAGGGGAGCCCGGGCGGTGCAGCCCAGCCGGTGGCGAGCAGCAAGGGGAGAAGGTGCCGAGCTGCCCCAGCACCCTCCTTTGGCAGCCAGCACCTCCGCTGCGGCTGCCTCCCTACCCCCCGCACCCCCAGGGTGAACTGCTGAGAAAGAGGAGGTGGTGGGGAGGGGACGGGCCTTCGCTGGAGCTCAGGGGCTGGGAACATTTCCATGCTGAAGGCCAAATTGATTTTTCTAGTGCTGTCTCCACATTAATGCGCAGCTTAGTATTGTCCAGCATCACGCCCAAAACATCTCGTAGCTACAGCCCAGAGGGAAGGGAGCAGTGGGTTGTGCTGGCAGGCCCTTGGGCTCTTACCCAGCAGGTGCCAGTGGGACCGGCGGGCTGGAGAAACACCAGGCAGCGCTGAAATAGCCAGCCCCTGCTGCACGTGGGGCAATCAAATACCTATTCAAACACAGCAACGCTTCTTTCAAACGCTGTCTTATGTTCTCCCATCTTGTAATTGTGTAAATAAGCCACAGACAGCATTATCCATGTACTCTTCATAACACAGCAATAACTGCTAAAGGCTCCATCAAGCTCTGTAAACAGCATTTTGCACTGATTTTGAAAATTAGGAACTGAAGTTGCACTTACGATAATTGCCAACTCATTTTGTTCGGTGCCGGAAAACTCATCCCACCTTTGCTTTTTACTTTGTAGCTGATGAAGAAGTGGCTTTTCAAAGTATCATCAACTACCGATGCACATATTGTTCCTCTGTTAACCAGAACTGAGGGCGGATCGCTGAGCACTTGTTCAAATAAGTTTTTGGCTGCCCAGACTTTTGCCCTGCTAGGCTTTGTTCCTTTTCTTCTTAGTTTCCCACGTTTAAAAAATTGTATACTTGCACCTCTAAGACACTTCTCATAAAACCGGTGTTGTTTTTCCCCTGTTCTTTTCTTTTTCAGGGGGAATGTTTTCTGCTGTATCTATCTCAGAGATAACCCTGTAGAATTCCTGACCAGGGCACACAGGTAAAAGCTGAAGGATGCTGAAGCAGGATTTAAATGTCAGGCTGCAACTTTACTTACAACCACACGGTTACAAACACAGTTCAGCACACACAGACACAGCAATTTCCCTCATCCATATTTAGGAATCCCAAAATCTCGTGTTGCATTTGAGTGCTGTGGTGGATAATGATGAAGGAAACCTAATCCATGTGGAGGTGAGGTCTTTTTCTCCGAAGATGTCCACCAGCCCCCGATCTGCTGTAGGCTGGTGCTTGGCCATAGTGCAGTATTTTGCTGCAAAACACATTAGCATCATGCCATGTGAGTGCTTGGGATGGCACCCCCATGGGACACCACTGGGCTGAGCCCACACCTCCATTTCTCGGTAACATTATACTCAGTCAACCTGTCACTAAAACCAATTTTTTATTTTTTATTTTTAAATCTGCCAGCCAGGTATCGGGTATCCGTACCCTTATCTGATGACTGCGTATCAGCATCCCTAAGATGATCTGCCCGGGCACTTCTACCTCCTCAAGCGTAACCATGATCACTTTGCCACCTGAAAACTCATCTTCCTGCATGCTGTCACAACCCTTCCAGGGTTGCATCAGCCTAGGAAGCATAAGCAGATAAAAGCCCAGGCAGAGTATCAAGGAGCAACAGACCTAAACCTGCTCCAACTTACCTTGCAGCTCCCGCTGATTGGCCTCCCCGTGCTGATCTAGCCCCAGGGGATGCGGGTGAGCGCCCAGCCCTGCCCTGGGCTCTCCACGAGTAGGACTTGAGGAAAACTGCTGTTGTGCTACTAAAAGGCTCTTACACCACGGGGAACACGAGCAGCCGCTGCGCAGGGCAGATGGCAGAGCCAGCGTAATTCGCTCTCCACTGCCCAGCAGAGCCAGCTCCCACTCGCTCCTCCTTCCTCCTGATGCCCAACACAGGAGCTGGCAGAGCTGCCCTGTTTGCAATGAACACGTCCCCAGATCATTAGCATTTAATCCGGGACAGCAGAGATAACACTGACATCTCATGAGCAAGACAAGGTCCTGCACATAAATACAGAGCCTTAAGTCTGCCCCGAGCCTGCCAGCATCTCCTGAGCCCCTGGAATATGTTTCCAGACCTTCAGCTATGAAGACATTTGCCCTTCGAGGGGGGCCTTGGACTACTGGAACCAGACGGCAGCAGATGCTCTTCTCGCATTGTGCTGGACACCCTGCCCAGTGCTACCATCCTCAAAAAACCCCTCTGCGTGCCCCCCCAAAAAGCCCTGTGGCAACTGTGACTGGCTGCTAGTTGTTTTCCTTGGCTTTTTTCACAGCCCAAGTGAGGCTATTCCTGGTGGCTTGTTTATCCTCCACTAGCCAAAATGCACTTCTAGCTGAGGTCCACTTTAGTTCTTAAATAGGTCATTTTTGCACACACCTGAAACTTGCCCGCAGACAGGAGGTGACGAAACCCTGTTTGCACCCATTGCCCACCCCTCAGCCTTCTCCAGGCTCTGGAACAGTCCTTCAAGTTACTGCTGCGAAAGTCAGCCAGCCTGTGGGACAGCCCGCTGGCAACAATGTACTGGAAAAAAAAACCCTCAAAATCCTAAACTTTCTGTATCTTAAAATTGAACAGATTAAAACTCCAGCAGCAGCCAGGACGTGAACTGCACGTTGCACTTTGCATATAGCATTGAAAGCTAAAGATGCCTGACCATTGCCAGAAGAAAAGTCCAGTTTCCTCAAAGGACGACTCAGTTTCCCACTGGTTTGGTGCTGAAAAACAGAGGAGGAAAGGGCTGAAAATATTCTTTATTCCTGTTCATCTTTCTCTGCGTCCAGAAGGCTCTTATAAATGATAGCCCAGCCACATGTCACGACACATCTTACACTAATTCTTCTCTCAGTCTTCTCTTCTGGTGTCCTTTCTGCCCCTTTCAATGATTTTAAGTTTTTGCATGTACTTTACAGCCAACTCTTTCATACCACGTTTCGATGTTCCCATGGACTCTGGCAATGGCTCAGCTGTACGCCTTGGCTGTGGGTGGGATTCCTTCAAGCATCTCCCAGCTCTATGAAGTAAAGGAGTTAGTGCTTTAGCCCGTTCGTTTAACCATCAGTCCATCAATTAGTCATTGCCTGGGCTTTGCTACTTTTAAATTGCTCTCTCCTGTGCCCGTTCTGGCTTGGTCTCCCTTTTTACCAGCTTCAGTCCCAAACCACGTATCACTCCCTATATCCTGGGCAACAGCGCACATTTAAACCAGGCCTGAAAACACCTCCTATCAGAAAAAAATGTGGGATGCGTCATTTGAGGGCGGTGCTCCATCCTGCTAGGAACCAGAGCATGCTGCCTTCTGCAAGAGAGGAACCATCGCCCTTCAGGAGCTCAGAGACAGGACAGGAGGGAGGCAGTAGGCTCTAATGACAAATCCATTTCCATCCCACCTCCACCCTCCATACGTGTGTTCCCAGCTGCTGCATATAGCCAACGCCCCGCCGCTCCCCAGGCAGGGGCAGCAGCAATTGTATTTTAATGCTGTAACAAGGCCCATGGCAACGGGGGGCGGGGGCGGCCGGCAGCGTCCTGTAAAACGCTGACATTACTGCCCAAGTGGTGAAGCTGGAAGCTGAGCCCGCCCTCCTGTTGTCACTATGAGGTGCCTTTTCCCTTCTTCCATCCCTCCAGTATGTTTTTATGGCTTCCCAAAGTAAATAAGGATACACGCACCTCACCCGTACCTCATCTTTTGAATCTTTTAATGGGTGCTCACCTCTTAACAATCCCTCCCCCTCCCCCCTTATCACCAACACTGCTGCAGCAAGCGGTAGGAGAGCCCAGCCTGCTGGGACAGGGCCGAGCACCACTCCTCCAGAGCAAGGCTGCTAAAATCCACTCAAGTTCTTCCAGCCCGTGGGCTCCACCCCAGACCCAGGGTGACAACGCCTGTGGGGCTCAGGGGTTGTCCCCCACGTTCCTAGCCTAGGCAGGCAGCTACGCTGCACCCCACCCCACGTAACCTCCCACAGCATAGGCTCTGCTCCAGGGGCAGCGCGGAGGCTGCTCTCCCCGTCCACCTGCCATTTTCTTCAGCTTTGCATGTAGCTCAAACAGACAAGGAAATCTGTCATCTCCTCCTCCCCTCTGACCTTCTTCCCAATTACCCAGTATGTCCCGCTCTCCTGCCTTTTTAGAGGAATGCCATTATTTTCCTGGAAGGAGGCTGCCCTGGGGCCTGGCGGGCCCCGTGCCCACATTGCTGCCCTGCTAGCAGCCTCCTCCCTGGCATCCCGCGCCTTCCTCCACAGGGCCCTGCAGGTAGCAGCCCTGCACCGAGCTTGCTTGAACTTGAGCTTCAGCTTGAACTTGTCTAGGCATCACCTGCATCCCTCCTTCCTCTGCTGTCAGCATCGTCGCAACGGAAGCAGTCAATACTGGTTGGCTTTGACCTGCCCCAGAGGTAAACAGTCACCCTCATCAGCCTTTTCCCTACGCTCCATCACTGATCTCCCAGCTGGAGTGCTTCCTCTGCCTGGTTCCCACACTGGCTAAAGCAGCCGTGGAAGATGAAGCTTCCCTACCAGCCTTACCCGTCAGCCCCACCTCAGCCACTGAATCACTGGGCCATGACTCTCCGCTGTAGATCCAGACAAAATGGCTCTGACCTAAGGAAGCTCAGGGTGAAAAGCCCTCTCCCTAGCCCTCTACGCCAAATGAAATTTTTGCTTGAGCCCCTTCCCAGGATCGGGGCAGCGACCAAGGATGAGCACCCTCCTCCCTATCATCTCAGTTGAATCCTTGCATCTTCCATCTCCTAACCAATCAATGTCTTTGTGACCAGGATATCACCAACTGTGGAGTCCCCAGTCCTTGCCCACCTTTGTTCCAGGATCTGCTGTACCATGCTGAACTAAGCCAAGCAGTGTTCATTTAAGCGAAGCAACGTCATTTTAATACTACTTTGAAAGTCCTTCCTCCAACTAGGAAGGTGCGGATTCAGGATACTTTTGTCTTTAGGACCAACAAGTTATCTGCCATATAAATTCAGGAAGTTTTGGGAATTTTCTCTCTTCTCGCTTTCTAGTGACCTTTCTCTTAAATGTTTCTTACTTTTTTAGCCTCCAACATCGCTACTTCTAAAATGTAACCACTGGTAGGACTTCACTTCTCCAAAAAAAGCAGAGATGCTGCTCCCAAGATTATGTACCTGAAGGAAAGCTTAAAAATCAAATGCTCTGTTGAATATAATGTATTTACAGAGGAACTTAAATGAAGCTCAGAAACACGTGACTATTCCTTCTCCCCATTTATGGGATCCCTTTGTTGTCACGCTCCTCCAGGACAGTTCTCAGATCCACAGTTCAGTAGCAAATGTTGCTATTTATTTCTAATTCCCTTTTATCTTCAATTCAACTTTTTACTTTCTTTTTTAAACACCCATTTGTATCTCTGGTTTTATCTATCCCCTACTAATGCCTTTTTTCTATTAGTCTGTACCTTTCAAAAATTCTTGCAATAAATGCGACATCTTCGGCCATTTTCATCCTTTTACACTTCCATCTTTAATTTGCCTGCCAGAATAATTTGTAGCCACAAGCAAATCATGAGTCACTTGCAGTACGGCTCAGCTGTGGAGCTCAAGGGCCCCAAGGCTGAGGTTCCTTGGAAAGCCAGTTAGTCCCCTCCATCCAGCTTAGGACTCCCGC